AAATAATGTGGTGTGTGTGGAACCTTTTGGTTCTTACATTTTTGCAAAAAACACATTTCTGTTTGTTGTATATATAAGCATTACAAAACTTAACCTTAACCATTATATGTTTAAACTATAAAAACGGTTACATTAAAATATCAGTTTCTCTGTATACAAACCTGAGTTAATTCTGTAGTTTAAATGTAATCGTATTCTGTGGTCAGTACAGTTTTTAAAGTACAGCTGAAGGAAGTAAGAGAAACTCGTTTTAACCAGAGGCCAAACTTTTCCCCCTCGTCCCTTGAAAATGTATCATCCTAACAGAAAACTACATGGGAAACTAGTTCAATAACCAAAAGCTTTGCATGTTCCTCACGTGAAGTACTGCTTGACGTGGTTCAGCATGGTCCTGCGATGTCTGTGGACCCTTTCGTGCTCCTCGATGAAGGAGTCCTCCGAGTAGAGAGGCCTGGCCACCACATACTGCTTGGCTCCCGGTCGCATCATTTTGCCTCTGCCTCCTGGATGACCGCTGCTCTCTTTCCTCTATGTGGCTCTGAGATCCAGTAATCACATTAGGGTTAGGAAGAGGATCCTGTCTTGACTTTGAACATCAGTAATCAAAAGAACACGAGCAGGCAAACAACAAAAGGTCCAGACCCCTCAAACACGGGCAGAGCACATGTGCCAGGTCAGGACCTGCTCAGTGGATGAGCATTGTCAGGCTTCATTAGCGCTCTAGAAACAGATTAACACCAGCAAGGCTTCTTTTGAATTTTAACACTGAAATGTCTCAGCTCCCTGATTTTTCCCAGAGATTAACTTTTCTTTTTTAAGATACCAATCACTCAAGGAAATATTTGCTTCCTTCACCTGGAGCTGAAAATACATCAGCAGCTCTGGAGTTTTGAGTTTTTGGAGATCCTTAAATTTCAAATTTAGAAGCTCCCGGTCTTCCCACTAATACTTCATATCCTATTGTGCAGCAGCAGCATACCCCACATACCTGACAGTGTTTCTAAATCCAAAGCGTTTGCTCTCTCTTCCAACTCCTCCGGCTCTTCTGGATCAACTGAGACCCGAGACGGTTTTGCCATCAATAAATGCCGAGTCTTTTTCTTATCACAACTGTAATTATTAACAGCAATTATGATGAACTCCCCGTTTCACACAACTGCTGGATGCTTGGCTTATCCTTGACCATTGTTCTTACTGATATCTGTAACCCACAACTTTCAGTGCAGGCTATTCTGCCCCTAGAGGAGCATTCGAAAGGTACTGTAGCGATGGGCAGGATAGGGAGGATGTGGACAGAACAGACAGGACAGATCAGGTCATTGTTATGAAGTGGAAATCAAGTTACTTTTCAGGAGGGGGAAACGCCACTGAGGGTTGGCTGCAGACCTCCACACAGTGCACTTCAGGAGTAACAATAGTTTGTTTGTCGCAGGAACTGAGATTGTTTGTGGAAAAACTGGTGAATGCAAGGGTTCAGAATTTATTTATCCAGCTGCATGTGACAAGACACCCTCTGGTGCTCTGATAATCAGAATCCTGGCATGAAAGTTAAACACATTTCAAGTTATAATTCATGAGACGTCGTAAAACTTGACTGACCTTCTGTGTTCTTCTTCTCGCAAAAAGTGGACAGAAGAGAGAGAAAGAGAGGCAACAGGAAAAGACCGTCCTTTATATTTAAAGTAACACCAACCAAACTGATAAAACCAGAAAGTGCTGGAGGAATGAAGTGTGTTTGTGTGTGTGTCTGTGTGTGTATTGTGCGATTGTGGTTGTGGGTTGTTAGTCACTGGTTTCAGTACATGCAGGTGGAATGCAAACATCACAGGAAAGTGTGTGAATGACCTTATGGAAGTGTCCTCTCAGAATTAAGTGGAGGTAATGTCTGCCCCCCGCTGTTTGTCAAGGATCAAGCACAGTTCTGCTCAGATTCATGGGAAAAGTGTGTGTGCGTGTGTGCGTGCGTGCGTGCGTGCGTGTGTGTGTGTACTGTGTGTACTGTGTGTACTGTGTGTTCTGTGTGTGTGTGCTGTGAAAACCCAGAAGCATGAATGAACAGTGCGTCCTTGTGAAAACGAAAAAAAAAGGTTTTGGATTTTCATGGAATGTTCTCACCTGACAGTCAGAGTTTATCACATAAAAAGCACACGGAAAGTTTTTTAAATACGTGTATGTATGTGGATTTCTATCTTGTTTCAGCTGCAGTCTCCCTCCCGCCTGCCCATCTCGTATAAGACAGTATAATAAAAGCGATGTGATTGGATCGTATGAGTGTGGTCAGGTAGTTTCGGCCATGCAGCCTTTGTTCTGTCACATCATGTCGTGTGATAAGCAACAGTGTGATAGATAAATGCTGGAACAATTAACAATTACCTCAAGGTCAATAACTTTCCACTTGGTTTGCATTTATCCCTTTCCATAAATAAAAAAATAAAAAAAGCCTGAAGCATTGAACAATATGTGATAAGGACAAGATTTAAATAAGTAAACAATTAAGACATCAAAACACAATCCAGACCATTCATTTTATATATTATATTATATTATTCATTCTATAATATTTCCACAATGAACCCCTCCCTCAATTAGTGATTGTCCAATCATTGATTAGCAATCCTAATTGGACATGGTTGCTCTGTCAAGCTTTGTAAACCTGCACATGTAGAAGCAGTGCACGCTGAGGAGGGTGTTGTCTTTCTTTGAGGTATTAACCTCAGAACCTGCATTCACAAATCGGACCTCCACTGTGTATACCCTTATTCATCAAGGGGAACTTAAAGCAAGAGTGCAGAACATTTACGGGTTGCATATTTCATTCTGATAAACAAGTTCACACAATGCAAATTGAGTCGATATCAGCACCAGGCAAATTAACTCTGTACGGGCCTTTTTTCACATTTAGCTGCTTCAAAGCTCCTGATGTTATTCTTGCTCGCTCACTGTCACGTCTTAATGTTACCATTAAGAGTTGAGCTTTTCCTACTGTAGCATGTAACATGTCTGCTGTGAAAAAGTCTTGTTTCACAGTCAAATCTGGTAAAAAAATAACATGGCAAAATAATAATAAGACTTAACACTCTACAGCCATGCCAGTGGTTCATGTTAACCAAGTATTGTTTTACTGGTTATAGTTCATCATATTAAACATTTTCAAGTTAGCACTAAAAATAGTACAGCTGCTGATACCTGAAATGTCATTAGTTTTTCATCAAGCTAAAGTATTGAACAAAATCAGCAGAAAGAGTAAGAGGATCACAAAGGTTTAAGGATTCCTCCTGTATCCCCCATCTGTACCAAATACCATAGTGTTTCTCTAATAGTTGTTGGGCAACACATGAAACTTTTAAATAGTTATTTCAACCTAAAACAGGAACAAACTGATTGATTGATGAATTGTTCCAGAATACCTCGGGGACAATAAATTTAAAAATATCTGTCTGTCTTTCTATCAATATTAGGTTATAATTCTTAATCAAAATCCAAAACAGCTACTATACAGCAGAATAAAGTCACAGCTTCATTATGATATTATAATGAATAGTCACAATGTTCTCATTACCTTATAATTATCTTAATAATGCCCACATCAGCTCTGGAAAATCCAAAATCCATCCTGAAATGTCTAAATGCATTTTATATTTCCCTCTTAGTGTACAGGTATAACCCCCCAACTCACGTGGTTTTTTACAACTTAACATAGAGAAAGGAGGCTTGACAGAAACATAATGAATGCTTGGTCAGTTTTTTTCTTTCTTATAGAATAGCTAAATTGCAAAGAGATCAAAAACAACTTGTAACTTCAGCCGTCAGCACGCACAGTGTCCTGACCTGGAAGGTGGTGCTGGTGTGAACGTGATGTTGTTACATAGAGGGGACGTGGAGTCAGGGAAAAGAAGGCTGGAGTCATCCACTTCATGTTGCAACACTGTATAGCCTCCCCTCTCATGGCTGGGCATTTTCAATCCTGCTTTCGGGTATTTCCACCTGCAGGCCTTTTTCACGGCATGGCTTTTTTTGGTCCTGGTGTTGGTCACGAGTCCCCAAAATGATCATCATTAATGTTTTCTGTGATGAAATGGCTGCAATAGTTTCTGTGAGCAAAACACAGTTCATCTAAGGGCAGTGTTACGTTAATCTTAAATAATTCTTATAAAGATATCACGCATGGTGGCACTTTTTCACTTTACCTACATTGCGTTATCGAGTGTTTTTTGAAATGTCACCGATATCCATTTAAAATTGTACTTGGAAAGTAGAAAATATGTTTTGATCAGTCAAAGGTTCCCTGACATTTTGTCTTGAGCCAATTTATCTGATCTTACAAAACAATATCCACATCATTGTAATAATGTTTTTATGGTTATGACTAGGCAATAACAGCACTTGGTTAATATAAGGAAGAGATTGTGGTCTGCTGATTTAATTTGGAACAAATTAATAATGTTAACACGACATGTGTCTTTTCATTTAAAGGTACAGTGTGTAGAATTTTGTGATATCTAGTGTTGAAATTTCATGTTGCAGCTGAACAACTTTACTCTGGGGTAAAGAAAACTAGAATAAATACAATTTAGATGAAATGAACTCGTGAAAACATCATGAGGATTATTCTACATTCAATTTCTGCCAATAGATCCCTTTCACTTAAATCTTACACACTGGACCTTTAACCAAAACCACAATGTTTCCTTGTTCAACGACACTATGAATATCAACCACCCTAACTTGATGAATCAAAAAGAAAAAATATATATTTATTTTCTTTTTTCTTTCTTTCTTTCTTTTTTTTCTTTTAGTCAACAGAGTTGTGAGTTTATAAGACTGAGGAAAACATACACTATATACAACAGAAACACATCACCTACTTAAAGTGTCAATTTGCTGCTTTTACAAGTTAAAAAAAGTACAGTGTACTTGTGTAAATGTTAAATCTTAGGAGGTTACAAAAACGTGAGAAAATATCCCTGATAATATTATCTGACTTATGTGGCCTTTGGCTTCGATCTTGCACATTTCAACAGATAATGAAAAACTGAGGTATGACGTTTTAAAAAAACATGACCGTGCAGGGAACGTATAATGAAAGAGGTTTTTGATTGGTGCCATGAGGCTTTTTAGATTTATGGGTCAGTTAGGATACCTCAGCATGTCCTGTATAAGATTTAACTGTTGATTAAAATGTCAGAGGATGAGAGTGTCCGCACAATAGTGGATGCTCCCAGAAACTTTTACTTCCCGGCCATGTCACATTTCAGGCACAGGTCTGAAGAAGGGCCTCTGAACGTTTGTGTGGGAGTATCAACTGTGTGCAGCAAAATTGTTGAATTAAGAATTTTAATTTTCTTTGAAAACTGTGAAGTTATTTTTCAGTGAACTAGTTTTTAACGAATGAATGAACGGCAGCTTTGTCTTGTCATTTACTGAACATCATTTGCATCATTTTATGAGAGCAGCATGATTAAACATGTGGTAAACATGATCTCTGCTCCAAATGCGTCACCCTCAAACTTCATTGTGGTTAATAATTGGGATAGCAAGTAATGGTTATCTAACTAGCGGCCAACTAAAACTTGATAGAGGACCGATGCTGGATTTATAATCTAATGAGTGCACCCCTTGGCACAAGAGACATGTGGGGCCCTACAACATTTTTTGCTGTGGACTAACACGTCTTGGCACTCAGCGGGTATTTTAAATGTGAGTAAACCCATTTAAAAAAAGAAAAGTTACTCCTTTCCCCATTCTCTGACTTTCTCTCAGCTCGCTGTCTTGCCAATGCTGCACGTTCATAATCCATAGTGTAGCCACATCACATGTTTTCAGCTTGTACTATTGAGTAGATGGAAATTCAGGATAAATGTGTTGAAATACATTTAAGGTTCCTGGAAAACTAATAATCAGGCCAGATTTAAGTACAATGGTATGAGTACACTCCATTGTATGCCGTAATCTCAAATGGAAGAAACCCATTAAAATAAATGCTCCTTCTAATCATTCTCCAGTAAAAATATTTGTGTACACTAGACACACAACATCTGAGGCTTGAAACATGAAAGATGTTTTTATTACACAGACTTTAAACCCAGCATGGGCAATAAATAGCAACAACCCCCCCCTGTGGAGATAATGCCGGTGGACACCAGAACTATTTACTGATCTCAGATATGAGATCCTGCT